TTTATCTAAATAACGTCCAACTAGAAGTTTACAAATTTAGATTCTTAGGAGTAGAACCATATAACAAGTGGGATCCGGATATAGAAATAAAAACACGAATTGAGCAGACCAAAACAATTTACACCAAATGGAAGCAAATTATCTGCAACTGAAAGCTAAGCTTATATGTTCGAATTAGAGTTATTAGTCCTTCTGTACATAGTTGAGACGTGAGCAGAGATGTAAAATTAAATACCATGAGACTCCTAGAACTCTCTGAAATGTGGCTCTATCGCAAAATGCTCAGAATGTCATAAAAACAGACAGCATATAATGAATCAAGCAGTACTAAACAACATAAAGCCAGCATAAGCCAGCTTGAATTAATAATAACGATTAAGAAAATCGCATTATTGATCTTCATGCTCAAAGGAAAAGGATACAGAAGGGGAAACAAAGAAATAAAAATACTCTGTACTCTGTTACGCAGACGACGCAATATTGATAGCCTAAGATGAAGATAGTCTATAAAGACTGGTCCACAGATTTAACATAAGAGCAAAAGAATTTTTACATTAATTTGTACATCAGTATTGAATAAGATATGGAAATAAAATACCTGGAAATTACATTGTTCAGCTATGGAGACCTGGACAAAGAAGTGAGAGATCAAGTAGCAAATGGACAAAAAGCAAATAGACTGGCAGGATGCCTTAAGAACACTATATGGCGAAACAGACATATTAACACTGAGATAAAATCAAGAATTTATAAAGCCAGTGTAAGACCAATAATGACATATTCCTCAGAAACAATACTCCTCACAGTCACAACGCAAACGCTACTGGAAATGGCAGAGATGAGAATACTAAGAAGAATTACAGGAAATACGCTGAAAGATCGAAAGAGAAGTGAATACATTAGAAGTAAATGTAACGTACAGTGTATAAATAAATGGACACAAGATAGAAAAAAAGGATGAAAAACCACATAAGCAGAATAGAGGAGACACGTGTCGTCAAAATAGCAAAAGATAAGACAACTGTTCATAGAGGTATTAATCCGCCAATGACTAAGCGGAAATACTTATAAAGAGGAAGAAGATTAAGAAAAGAAAGATCCTTAAACTAAGCCACATAATAAAGAATGGCACATATAACTTGCTAAGACTAATAATCGAAAGAAAAATACGTGCTACAGTGGCGTAGGCAGAAGGGCAATGTCATGGCTTCGAAATATCAGAGCTTGGAAAGGCTTGAATGTTTAATAATTACCAGGAACAGCGCAGTAAAAGGAAGATTTTGATATAGTGAATGTAAACCTTCAGTATTGGAGTGCATAATAAGAACAATACCCATGTCTAAAATTCGTAAAATAACACGAAGAACAGTTTGAACTTTTTATATTTCTACTTAAACTCTTTATTTGTTCTTTATATATTGTTAAGGTTTCTCGATGTTGTTGAGTTTTTGTGATTATCATTCATTGTTTTTTTATGAGAGATAAGTCATTTTCCTCACTAATATCTATTATTCTGTCAATCATATGCTGTAGAACTTTCAAACATTTTTGCTTTTAGCTTCTTTTCAGTTCCATCTCACCTACGACTAAAAATAATGGTCTACTTAAAAAATTTTTTTCTTCCATTGAAAGAACGCTAATGATAAAGATTTTAATCGTAACGTAATGTCAAGGTGGTATCTAATGACAAGTAGAATATGACATATGCAACTTCCGTGAGCAATTGCTTTGCTCAGTGTTCTAGATTTCAGTACTGTTTATTTTGGCAGATAATTTTAAGTTTGCCGACCGGAACATTATTAACACGAACGTACGTATTTTGTAAAAGACACAATAGACTACTTAGTAATCTATTGTATCTATATTTAATGTTAGAATTAAGTAGTAGTTAGTAGATTTATAATAATAATAATGTTTATTGATTTCAATATAAAGAAAAAATTATCCTTAGTAGTTTTTTTTTACATTCATGTTAATTTTACACTCAAAAACCAAAAAAGCATTTACTCATTATCCGTTAAAACCAATAATTGATCGAACACGGGAGTCGTGTGTGACATTTAATTATATTTACGTAGGTTTATATTAATCTACAAACATTGCATACTATGTATATTACATGTATTTTTTTTTTAATTTATACGAACGAATATAACAAATCACTCTATTGTTTATATATTAAATTTTTAACTTTGATCATTATTAATTAGTCAGATCGAAAAATGTATGCACAAACATACGATCTTATGATACGATGTTATGATGTCCAAGTTACAACTGGAATTGATAACATGGCGTAATACGATAACGTAAGACTCTATAGGAAGTTGCTGGTCCTGAGACAAAGTGTCTACGAGGACTTGTTGATAGTAACTCATATAAAATCCAATAATGTAACTTAAATTCAAATTAATAACATTTAACGGGCTTTTACCCAAATATTTATTGACTCAAAACATGTACACTTAGACATACTGATAATGGAATATATATTCCGAAAACGTTTTGTGATGTAGTCCGATTGGGTTTTTTAATTATATACCTTTTATAAAGGATTTTAATGCTGCATGGTATACAGCCAGCTACAGGAACTTAGCTTCCTTGTGGATCTTGTATATTTGTTGACCATAGATTCAAATTGGTATTCATACATCAAATTGAGGTATTCGTAAGCACGTTCGTTAGTGATATCCTTAATATTAATATTAATGTCCCCGAGTAGTATATGGCACGCTAACCGTTCTTGTTTTGTTGTTCTAAATATTGTTTTAAGTCGTCATTAAATTCCTCCACGTCACCACGAAAATGAAAGATAAAAACAAGTAGCTAAGATTTTCATATTATTTTCTAATATAAGAAACATATACAGTGCTAGTCAAAAGTCCGTTCCCCCCTCGTAACTTTTAAACGGTTATTGTTATAATAGTGAAATTTGGACGGAGGTAATAAACAGATGTAGGCTTCTAAACTAGTCATAACAGGTGACGTAATAGTGACAGATGATGTTACTGGGACAGATAATTTTAAATGGGACCTTAGGGCAAGTAATATCTCGTTTGAAAGGTATTGAAAATACCTATTCAATCATAATAATTTTGTTAGAGTTTAAGCTTATTTTGATTAATAAATTAAAGAAATAGTAAAATTGTGGCTTTTCATTTAATTGATAAATATTTAACAACCAGTTCTTATAGTAAGTGTTCAAAATGGGCTCCATCTACTTCGTGACAGTAATGCATCCTATTTCTAAACTCTTGTCAATATTGTCGGTTGCTGTAGCGTAAACTTAAGATTTCAAGTATCCCCACAGAAAAAAATCCCATGGTGTGAGGTCCGGTGACCGAGCAGGCCATTCTATCGTACCTCGTTGTCCAATTCATCTACCACGACATTCTTCATCTAGTTAACGTCTTACTGCACCATAATGGTGTGCAGGAGCACCATCTTTTTAAAACGTTATTTCCAAGTGGCCGAATTCATCTGGATTATCCTCCATAATTTCAAGTATTAATGGTTCAATTGCATTTTGTAACATCTTCAGATACACTTCACCGGTTAAGTTAGTACATATTGGGAAAAACAGGCCCAGCTATGTGGTTTCCCAAAATACCTGCCCAAACATTTATTTTTTTTTTTGGAAATTGAGTATGTGTTTCACGAAAGACGTGAGGATTTGTGTCACAACAATACCTCACATTGTGTGTGTGTTAACATTTCCATTGAGAGAAAAAGTACTTTTGTTACTAAAACAAATTGTTTTTATGTAATTTGGCTGTTGGTTAATTTTATTGGACATATTTTCACCGAATTCTAGTCTTCGGTCGGGGTCATCATCTGAAAGTTGGTGCACAATTTTTAATTTGTAGAATGAATTTTTTTTCAGCCATCACTCGGTGTACTGTCTTTTGACTATACATAGACAAATACAACTTGGGCTGTAGAAGAAGTAGGGTTCACTACCATTTCTGATAGTATGTCAATGTTTTTGTCATCACTAATTGTTGGTCGACCAGATCGTTTGACATCTTGAACACTACCTGTTTGTTTAAACTTCCGAAGAAGCTTTCTCAAATAAGATCTCGATATAGGACGATCTGGGTACCTCTCATTAAAAAGACGATCCGCTGCATGTGGAAATTATTACCACCTTCACCAATTAGTAACACAGCTGCTACTTTATCGGATACAGTACGTACTATTCAGCTTTTGTAAAGAATAATTAACTAAACTAAACTAACTAACTAACTAAACTAAATATTAACTAAGAACAATTAACTAAAAACAACTTCACTAAACCTAAATTGACTAAACTAAGTAAAAACAGAAACTAAATATTGGGCTATAAATGTTTTGCAATCTAAAAACAACTAGAGAATTGACAAACGTCAACTTTTTTTGACAAATAACCAAAGGTTGACGTTAGAATTTTTATTAATTAAATGCCAAGTTAGAATTTTAGTATTTATTTAATTTATTCGTCAAAAGCATCTTAAATCCAAACAAAATTAGTATGATTGAATAGGTATATTAAAGTAATTGTAGTTTCGCATTTAATCAATAAATATTATAACGTTAGTCTCTGGTTAATAAAAGTTGACGTAAAAACAATTAGAGAATTGAAAAACTTCACCTTTTTGACAATTAACCATAGGCGAAGGTTTTAATATTTTATTAATTAAATGCGAAACTGCAATTTTAGTATTTATTTAATTTATTTATCAAAATAAGCTTAAACTCAAATAAAATTATTATGACTGAATATGTATTTTCAGTACCTTTCAAACGAGGTATCACTTGTCATAAGGTCCCATTAAAAATTATCTGTCACAATGGCGCTGTAACGTCATCTGTCACTATTACGTCACTTGTTATGACTAGTTGAGAAGCCTACGTTTGTTTATTACCTCCTTCCAAATTTTACTATTATAAGTATAACCGTTCAAAAGATACGAAGGGGGGAACGGACGTTTGACTAGCACTGTATAAGAAAAAACTGTTACCTTCATTTCCATATGTCGGCATGAGATCTCCTTGTTGACAAATTAAATAAACTATACTGGATGCAAAAATAAATCCTGTCAGAAACATTACGGTTTTGAAGCATCGGTATCCTGAAAAAAAAAAATAAATAAATAAAGCAGTCTGCTTTAAAATCATAAAATCTTATATGTTTCTTCTTTATTTTTTACATGTAGAGTTTTAGATCTGCTATTATAATATAATACATTATAAAACTTTTTACTATTTTAATATTTATTTCTATTTAGAGACAAAACTAAAAGAAACTGGATTCTCAGAATGTTTCTCATTTATACTGTTCAACAATGGTGGTAGTGACAGATTAACAGATTGACTATATTATCTAGACTATAGTATAGTATCGTATCGTGTAAATTTCTATATGCCCTGGCGGACATATACAACTGCCCTGCAGTCCGCCAATTTTCGTTTTCTACTTGCCAACGGTTTAGAATAGCTTTTGTCACGTGTTACAACCGCTGTGGCGTGCGAACCTCGTATCACTGCGAGTTTTACAGTTAGGTTAATAAAATATAAAAAAACAACTTTTACACGTTTGAAAAACAGGTTGATAACAAAATTAGACATATATCAGATTCGAGAACAGCCAGGATTTACAAAGGGATTTAGCATCAGTGATCATTTGTGAAAATCCTAATCGATAAACGAAATGCATATAGATCTCGATATATGCAGCTTTTGTTAACTTTAAGAAAGCTTTTGATAGTATAGAACACTGAGTAATAAAATGCTTACTAAACAGCAAAAACCCGAATTAAGATACATGAACCTAAGGACTCAATAGCACTGAATAGAAAAATAAGGCAACGTGACACAATATCACCAACCAAGCCATAGAGGATGTGTTCAAGAAAATATATTGGCAAGATAAAGGAATAAGAATAAATGGGGTATATCTTAACCATATCCGATACGTCGATGATGTCTTACTGATAGGAAGTAATAAAAGGGAGTTAAAAAATATGATTTTGGAACTAGACAAAGAAGCATGAAAGATCGGTTTTAGAATGAATTACGAGGAAACAAAAACACTGTGTAACACCTCAAAGAATATCACAATAAAAATACAGAACAAAATTAGAATGGAGGGCAGTTGAAAAACTATAAACATTGGAACCGAGTAGGAATTGAATATACTATATAGATTTTTTTTTGAACAGTTAAAATTAAATCTATTTAAAATACTCATTTTTACAGCACTCATACAACAAACACCAATATAAACTAGACTAATGATTACAAAGGAATGTTTATGTGTGCATCTGCAATGTACGAAACAAGTCCTAACATTAGCTAATATAAAACGACTACCGCCAGCTGTTATTTTTGAAAAAATCTTAATTAATTTAAATAACTTGAAAAATATGTATAGTAAAACTTATCTATCACTATATTATAGTAATTTCTTCTTGATACTAGAGACATTTTTATGATTTTTATATGGTAGGCAATCTGTTAATAGGAATAGGTTTTTTATTAACCTAGAAATGAAAAAAAAATGGTAGTGAACTTGAGACCTATGCTAGAAAGAATACTGGTTAAGACTGAGTGGAAAATATCGCAAATTATCTATAGCAAACATATATGCTCCAAGCGACGAAAAATATATCGATATAAAAACAACTTTTTATCAACAACTAGATGATTTTGTTTTTGGGTAACGGGTAGTACTCTTTTACAGTTCCCAGTAAATGAGAGACTACTTTAGGGATTGGCAACCCTGCAATACGCCAGCTACTGTTTCTCTCCTAAGCTCCCTCTAGGAGAAAACCGGTCCCAATCCTGTATCTATCTAACTCCCAAATATCCTTCCCACACCTCGACCGGAACGTCGTTAACTATTCCTGAGGACAGCAGCGACTGGAACTACTGGAAGTACCAAGATAAGGCACACAAGAATTGATCCTAGACCGGCTTATTATTGGATTTTCACAAGCGGAGCTGTATCAGCAAAATGGTTGTGATACTGCGATGCAATAGAGCAGGGGAAATCATTGCATTACAATGTCTAAAAGAATGCCTCGGATGTTGTCAAGCTTTCCGGATGACGACCGGCGCTACCTTGAGTATCGGTCAAGGAGTGCAAAATTGCGAATGTTAGTGATCAGAAGTCAGAAAATTATTAATGTCGGTACATTGAACGTACAAGAGCTAAAGACACACAAAGTAAGCTGTTAAAGAGAGCGTAGCGTGCAAGGTATAACATCGAAATCTCTGACTGTAAAAAAAACACTGGATAACAGATGAAACCTTTAAAATAATTCAGAATAGAAGAAATATTTGTCAAAGTGGTTTACATAGTGAAACGGAAAAAGTCAGTTTAAGAGACCTCAACTAAGAAATAAAATGAAGATGCAAGGCTGATAAACAACAATACTATCACAATATATGCAAAGAAATCGAGAGCCAAGATCCAAACAATCAGCCAAGAGATCTATTTAGAAAAATATGATACATAACAAGAAGAACTTGGGCCGTTGAAGATCACACGGAAATGAAGAAATCGAAGAAGAACCTAATATACTCGAGAATGAAATAAGACTAGCGATCGTTAAACTCAAGTATAACAAAGCAGCAGGTCCAGATATGAGTACGTCAGAAATGCTCCAAGCTACAGAAGAAACCGGAATAAAATTACATCACTTGCTCTGTAAGAAAATATGGTATTCCGAACAATGGTCTGACGACTGGACAAAATCTACAATAGCGACACATAAAAAAGGCAATTTTTATAAATGTGACAACTAAAAAATCATCCCTCTTATCTCTGAGAGACTGAAAACTTTCTTACAAAGAGAACTATCTCAAAAGCTCATTTACCAAACATAGAGGTAGTTGAGAACATATTCTGAACATAAGGTAAACAGTAGAAAAATATAGGGAATTCAATATTCCACTATACATTTGATTTAGAGATTATCGCAAAGCGTTCGACAGCGTCAAATGGCTTATATTATGGGACATACTAAAAGAACGAGGATATAAGTTAACGCTTTAAGTCCCAGACTTGGAAATTTCAGAGAAATAAGCTTGTAAATATATTTTTTGACAATAATAGAGTATAAAAACTTCATAAAATGATACATATATTTTTGTGATTCCCCTATAAATTGGGGGGAGCGGTACTTTAAAGTACCATCGGGACGCAAGAGATAGCGAAAGGAGTACTTTTGTATAGACATTTTTTATGAAATATTTTATTAACCATTTACATATTTACATTATGATACTCGGCACAACAGTTTTTTTTTTCATTGCAGCATAAGAAAACTCCACATGCAACACATTTAGAGTGAGGACGTGATTGTATTGCGTTAGATGCACATTGTTCACATCTTCTTCTCTCTTTCACGAACGTTATCCAGTGACTTCCTCTGTTTCCCAATCTTACATCAGCATTGACACTATAATTGTATCTCCTTCTCTTGGAAGATGGTACACTAGGAGATTGTCTGTTTTCATTACTAATGCGTTTTTTATTGTTTATTTTTAATGTGCTAGTATTTTCGTTCATTAGACCCTGGGCAACTGATCGTCTAAAATCAAGGAGCGTCATTGTATCTTCTTCAGCTTCCGAATATATGATATAAGAATTGACAAAGGCAATGTCGAAGAGCCCAAAGAATAATCGATACCACCACTTTTTAGAACGCCGATCTACACAGTAGGTACCTCTCAGTTGATCGGCATGATCTACAGCACCCATATATTTATTATAATCCGCAACTGCAACTGGACAAACAATTTGGGTTTTAGTTCCATCCTTCTCTTTTCTTCCAACAAATGTGGTTTGTGATCCATGAAAGTTTGATGCAAAATGGACACATTTGTTGTCTTTCCATTTGAAAAAACTAATATCTGTTAAGTTATCAAAATATATTATTCTGTCTTTTCCCCATTCTGGTTCTGTGAGTTGTAAAACTACTCTTTCCCCTAATCCAAAATTTTTAAATTTATCTTCCCGCTGCTCATTTTTTCCCTGGTATATCTCAAAACTTTTTATGAAACCTTTTTGATCGGCTAAACAACAAAGTTTGTAACCACGTTTGTTCACCATTAACATGCAGAAAACTCAGTATCTCTTGAAAGCGATTGCGGGTCATTTTTTTTGTACTAAATGTACTCCAAGATCAACTGATATATTCCAGTAATGTTTGTAGCTGGGCAAGGAATGGTAACCCATAAAAAAGTTTAGTCCAATAAACGCCATCAATTCATTTTCCTTCAAGTTGAGGTTCTTATTTTTTTGTGTAGCCTATAAATTACTTTGATTTTTTATAGCAGAACCTAAGACTGCTAAGAAATATTCGGTAGGTGTGGTGCAGTGGGTAGATAGATCACTTGCAAGACTTTCAGGGAAATTGTAGTCAGGAATATTTATTTGCAACTTACGTTTTTTCCAAAATCGGTCAGATTCTTTTTGTGTAGTTATACCTGAGTCCGTTTCTGCAATAGTCGTTTCAGCATCTGAGTCTTTAACTACATTCTGCATATTTGTTTCCAGTACAAATTCTGCTGCGGGCTGTTCAATGACATCATCTTCATCAGTTTCAACATCTGTATCCTGGGAATTATCCATTGGAAGCTCTTCTAACATATTAAGAGCACGCTCAGCTTCTTCCAATAATTCCTCATCAGTCAATACCTTTTTCCAATACCACGTATTGTATTCCATCTTTATTGAAACACCCAGAAACAAGTCTAAAAAAATATAAAATAATTATTATCATTTTAGTCCCGACGGTACTTTTGAGTCCAGTTTATATTTTTAGGTAAATATTTGAAGTAAACTACTATAAAGTGATAATAAATCTAATTACACAAAGTAAATACACTAATATAACTTACCTGATACACTAAATCTAATTTATAATCCTCTAAATATTAAAAATATCACTTATAAAAGAGCCTTTTTAGTAACCGTGTATGAGCTGTGTCAGACATAACCAAAAACAGTTTTATGACATTTCACTGCTTCCAACCGAAACTAATAAACTACACAGAACTTAAAAATATGTTACTCTAGGGAACCGCAGGGCTGACAGCGCAGTTAAACGGCCGTTAAACGACC